TATCAAGCAACAGCCAAAGACTTGAAATTACATTATCAAATAAAATGCATCCGTTAAATCGTACCGTTATGCAGACATAACTCCTCCCGAAATTAGCATATGAAGTAAGTTGGTTAGCGACGAATCCGCGGTAAGTACAAAATATCAACAGTTTAGACAAAAAGCTACAAACGCGCTACAGTTAACGAGGATAACCACAACTAGCATAAGCAATCAGTGCAAGTTAATAGATTATTTTGGTAGGCAGAACAAACCAAAACTGTGGAATGAAATTTATCTAGCTTAAGAAGAACTAGTTAAGTGTAAGTTGGTTTGGCCTAACTGCGTTGAAGAAGCATCATGAATGCAACATTAGCCTCAGCTATACACAATTACATACGTATATACACCATACACACATTTATTGTCATGCCAAAAATGTATTTTTGTACAATTTTTATCACACTATGTTAGCTTAACATGATCATGTCTGTAAAGGTGTGCCTCGCAATGTCGAGAATAAAAGTTTATTTATTTAATATAACTCTCATAGAGATGCGCTGAGCGGATATACACAGCGTGCGCGGGCCGATGCAAATTCTAGTGACACCAGTTATAAAGAAGCACATTGATAACCCGAACGCTATATTTGAGTAGGCACAATACCGTTGCAGATAAACTGGTGCCACCCCAGAGAAGCAACGCACTATGGACGACGAGGAGTAAAGACTTGAAACCTTACAGTCGGAGAAGGGTAATATTCATCATAATTTATGAAACACTCCATACGGTGGTCCTGCATGCAGTCTTTCTGTTAGAGGAAAAGCATGGCGCTAGAAATGTCGTAGCTCCAAGCATGAAGTTCTACCACTCGTAATACGTGAAGCAACCCCGGCAGCCACGTACCGATCAGTGCTAATGCAGATGTCTAGAATGGCGAATCCATCAAATGTTTCGGGTTCGTCATCGTGGAGGATCAAAGAGCTAGTAGGTGGGTTGTGGTCCTGCAGCAGTGCGCTGTGCTTCGAATGTGCGAAGGGTACGCCTAAGAACGGCGCCACTCTGGGCCTGCACAATCGTTCACTGCTTGCACAGTCACGTTGAATTCGCGCGAGCACAATGTGGTCTGAACATCGTCCAGTCGTTTTAATCACTGTTCTTTGATAACGAGTTGCAGCAGTAGGCCAATGAGGCTATGCTGTGTTTGGTGGAGTCATGATAACCTGCAATGATCCACTAATCGAGCAGCTGAATAGGTTGGCCCAGTTAAAATACGCAAAGGCCCATAGAGTGACAGGGGACGACTGGATCGCCGCCTATCTACTACATCAGTAACGGTCCAACTGATCAAATTGGCCAAGGTTTAATTCAGTGGGAACTGCAGTCCACATTGAGATGGCGCATCGTACTTCACAACGACCATACAATGCTAGGTAACACTTATTCAAGCCATGCTAGACTACGCAATTGGGGAGTCTGACTTTCCAATAGTCACACAGCTACACAGTTCCATGTGTAAAATCAGAAGCACATAAACATCGAGAACATAGATTGGGAGGTAGGGGGATACTCATTCGCCGCCTTTGATCGAGGCGATCGAGGTTCAAGATCAAGAAAAGAGTTTGCAGTGGCACCCACTGTTTACACAAATCGGTTGCATTAACATGACTACAATGTAGTCCGAACATCGTCTAGTCCCGTTACTCCTCATTTCTTGCAAGCGAATCGCTGATTTTCAGCTTAAAATCCAATGTGTCCAAAGTGGTTTGCAAAGGGTCCAGTGTCTTGCAAAACGTCCAAATTGATTTGTAAAACGTCTAGTGGTTTGCAAAACGTTCAAAGTGGTTTGCGAAATGTCCAATGTCTGACACAGACATTGGTCTTGAGCCATGACTTAAAGGGTCTGCAACCAACGACACTCCAGGTCCCTGGGACCCCAACCAGGGAGTCGAGAACAATCGATCGAGGTTAATTGTTTTGTCAGCCTTTTCATTGCTCTTCTTAAAGTCTAGTTGCTCACCGCGTTGTCTCTAGCCCTGTCCAGCAAACGCGAACGCCCGACACAGAAGACGATGAACAAACATGCGATCTACGTGTCTAAGCCACTGCAGCTGACGCAGTGAGACGAGCTTCTCAAGTGGGTGGCTGTCTCCATCCAAGACACGCCATCTAACATCCACCTCGCTTACGTGGTGCAGCCACCACACACGGACAATGGACCGCCAGCGATGGTGCTCGAAGACGGACAATCGGCGCAGGTCAACAGTAGGAACAGGCCAAATCTCACAACCGCACAACAGGACACCGTAGACAGTCACACAATAAGTCCGCCCTTTCATAGAGAGAAGTAGGTCAAGGCAGCGCCGTGCGTCAGCCTGGAAAGGCGAGATGAGGTCTTGAAATACGCTTTGTAAACTCAACAGAGATTCAGTTACCCAGGTATACACATCTCCACGACATCCAGTATCTCATCACCAAGAGTGGGTGCAGGTACAGCCATCTGACAGTCTTGAAAAAGGGCTTTGCACTTGGATGGGGAAAGTGCATACCATAGTTTGACGTTTTGATTGTCAAACGGCTAAGTGCAGGTTAGACGTTATGCAAGACGATATCATCAGCGTGGTCCAAATCGACAAATCGCTATCGTTCAACAAATCATCCAGTGCATCCTTGAGTAGATCCTCCATGGTAAAACTAGGGAGGAGTGGGGAGATAGGGCATCTTCCTCGAACACAGCACGCAATATGGAAACGAACTTCTTGGGGACGCCATTCCTCATCAAACAGTGCCACGATGCAGTCCCGCTGATGGAATCAAAGATAGCACGGATATACAGGAACACAGCAATCGATGAATTTTGGTACCCATGACGGAGCCAGAGGATCTGGCGGAGTGTGCAAATTTGGTTGATGCAACAGCGACCGGGAGAAACTCAGCCTGTCCGCCCTGCTGTAGCGATTCTTGCATTGAGGATAGCCTACGAAGTATGATGGACACCAGAGGCTTTAAAATGACGAGAACCAGACTTAAACCTTTGTAGTTTGAAACATTGCGAGCAGGCCCTGTTTGAAGATGGGGACGACTACCGACTCACCGCAAGGCGATGGAACCTCCCCTTTTGATCAGATATCCGAGGACAAAGCGGCGAGTTCTTGAACCAGGGAATACCCACCGTCTTCGAATAGAGCGGGAGGTAGACGCTCGAGGACAGGTGCTTTATAACGCATCATGAGGTGGAGTTCATGCCAGAGTTCCTGGTGAGAGAGAAGATCTGTGGGGATAGATCACAAAACACCAGAGCACACTCCAGGAGAAGCAGATAGAGCTCGCGGCCAGCAAACGTGCGAGCCACCAAAATATTCACCCTATAGTCCTAACCGTCACTGAGGATTAATGATTAGAGAGTCATTCTCGGCACAGATTGTTTCGCTTACACCAGATAGGAAACCTTCGATGACTCGATGATACGGCAAATTTTCCGGTATCACAAAAAAGAGCAAGTGCCATCTCAATAGCACGTTCACACCCCTAAGCTTCAGGGTCTTTTGTGGACTTCAGTGCAATTCTCGATCCAGGAATCGGCGTTCTTCACTATAACAGGCGTTGGGCAGGAACCAGCAGCTTTGTCCATCAGCGAGAAGGAGATAGCGGTGATCCAGCTTTTGGGTGGGTGACGGGCAACTCCACAAGAGAGAGGAAACCACATAGAGACTGGTCTACATTCAAATAGACGGCAAGTTAGTGAGTAAACGGATAGCAACAAAACCTTCTTTTTTCGTTAATGCAAGTGTTGACATCTCCCAGTTCGCTGTGGTGTTTTCTAGGCGATCGGACCACAAATATCATCAGATGCAGAAAACGCTTCATTTTGTTAGTTTTGATGATTCATTAAACTATGATCCAAAAACCGAAGTGAACGAATTCTAAATGATCAGCGTTGCAATTAGAATAAAAAAAACGATGAAGATGAGCGAGTGACCGAACCACACAGACAAAACACAACCGGAGTCAAAAACCGTCTAAGTCATCGAATGGGAGAGGCAACGGAAATTAGCGGGACAGAGAGAAGTAGAAATGAGGCTGCAGGTGTGTAATGTCGAAAAGAGTGCTTAACCTTTGATATGGCTGAGCCTTACATGCAACACAGAGTTCGGTGAGTACGTCCGGTCAACCTTGGCAAACCCATTACCTAAGTAACGATGGCTGCCCTTCGGATTTAATTTAAAAGACGCAGCACGGAAAACAGACACCGAGTTGTGACTAACAGGTGAGCAGGAGAGTTCAGAAGCAAAACAGTTCGGTGCGGAAGCGCGAGTATGCCACCACCAAGCACTAATTGGCGGAAAGCTATAAGGTGACAAACACGATAAATGGTATGAAAAATATGCCAACGACGACGCCGGGTTCTCAGATTACGCAGCTAAGCATCTAGCCAAAGATGGTGTTGTAATGGACAAACAGGAGCGAAATATCGTGACTGGAGCTCGAGGAGCACTGCAGCAAACAGTATCAGCAAGTAGGTTGGAAGTTAATACATATATGGATGTACATCGATGGCGATGAGATGCAGCCGCCAAGTAAAATGTACGCCACGTCATGAAGCCTCCGCTTTGGAGTCAACGTAGGCATTGGTGTATGGTCCATGAGACCAAGAAATTTGTTAAAAAGAAATATTAAATAATGAAAATATACGGTAAGTGAGCGTGGTCCGAAGGAATGCAAGGCCCCACACTGTTGGTACGAAAGGCCGATTGGATGAAGATCATGTGAGAAAGTACCATACATCTCACGGCCTCTCAAATGGATCATGACCGTAGGCGGAAACAGCAGCAGAACGAGCTAACGACTGTTGAAAAAATAGACACCGCACGGTGATCCCGACAACAACTGCACCGCTAAAAGCCGAAATGATGTTGATCCAGGTACAAGACCGTCAGTCCGTCAGAACATGTGCCAAGTTCACGATACAATCATTGTTCTTTTAGCAAACGCGCAGAGAGAACAGAAACATAAAAACACACCTTTGACGTTCCGTCTTGTAATTGTCCAGCAACTGATTGAATAGTGTACTATTCATTTCCATAAAGCTTTTTAAAACATTGCCGACAAGTGCAACAATCGTTTGATTCCAGTGTTCGCGGGAAATGCGATAGAACGAAGGGAACAAGATTGGTATGAGCACTTCGTGATTCTCCTCCACTAGTGAAACAATATTGTCGTTATTCCAGTAAGTCAACGCACGTTCTGCGACCTACGTAGGGGAGAAGCACAAGTCGAAAGCAGGGCGATGTGGTGATAAAATTTCGCGATGCACAAATAATCCTAAATTGAGATGACGGTCAACCAAAATAGGCATCTAAGCACGTGATATTAAAACTAATTTGAAGACACACAACAGGTAGGCATAAATGATGTTACACCCAACGCGCTAGTATTACTGATGAGCGCTCACGGCAAATGAAAGAGAGATACCACGGCTATCAGATTAGAGTATAGCACAGAGGGAGCGCAATCAGAAGAAACAAAAGCTAGTTAAGAAGAGCAAGTAAGCAGCGTTGCCTCGTCCACGCACTTCATTGGTGAGATGAAATTGAAGTGAAAAGTTGTGCGAATAGAATAATTGGGAGAAGCTATAGCTGATTAGTCGAACTCTTCACCAGATCACTCTAAGTTAAGAAAGAAAACCGGAGAATTGTTGGGTACCGAGTGCTGTGGAGGTCTTATTCGCATAACAAGGAACCCCGAGGGACAACTGATGTTAGCACTACGGTCATCATCCGGCATGCTACTGGGATCTATAGGATGAATGCTTGGCTGAACGCCTGATGCAGTGGTGCTGAATTCAGAGCAAACCACACAGAATATTTGGAAAATCAACGTGGAAGGGCGTGTGGGTGAGAAACCAATTTACTGAACCGCAGTTGTGCAATGGATCCAAAAAAACAGCCATAGCCATTAAAAAGGTGACCAAATTATCCATAAGTGGCTGGCCTGTCTAGTTGTAGGCATATGTAATGGGGGGTCCGACAACAACCATAGTCATGCCTGTGGGTCGCAGTCAAAGCAGTTGCACAAAGCGTGAGGGAATTAACTAAACCCGAAACCTGAATGAGAAATGGACAAGCGGTCTTTGTCAGAAAAGTGAATGCGAAGTATATTCTCATTGAACTAGTTCCAAGAACAGCGCCACAGAAAAATCGTCCGTGAACGCACAAATTGTTTGGAAAAACAGTTAAAACCGATTGAATTTATACGATGCAACATACCGATGTTTGACTAAGCATTTAGTTGAACACTGTAAATGTCCTGCGAGTACATTCCAATTAGTAAACAAGCCAAAACTTGACAACGTTTGGTGAAATTTACTAACGCTTTTACCGTGACCCAAGATAAACTTCCCATAAGTGCAGTGAGCACAATTACAGATTGGAGTCATGGGAGCAACACGATAAAAAAAAATAATTCGGTGGCGGACCCTATATGGGCCGTGAAAAGCATATGCAGTGAGATAAGTCGGGGAGGTGTATTACCACGAAGCACAGGCACACAGTGAAAATCAGAGCAACTGTGAACAATTGTGCACGGCAATGACGGAGAACTTGAAAAATTATTCAAATGATCTTACGAGAAATATAATGACACAGAAGGCACTATGATCATCATAGTCACCAACAGCACACGAACATGTGGTGATGTTGTATCGCAACCACGCAACAATGATCACCCTAAAGACAAAAATCAAAGAGAGAGAAGGGCCTAGTGTAAAATCGAAATCCACAAAGCAATCGCTTGTGGTCAAGGCATTTACACCTTGTCAACATTACACGGTCACAAACAGCTAGATACAGTGAAACTGTAGGAGCGGGAAACTGTCCTAACGAACTGCAGCCACTTTGTTTTAGTTCCAATTTTCAAGGGAGGCTCACGATCGAAATGCGGTAACCATAGGCGAATCAGTCGGATCGCCTCCAAAATGCTTGCATCTGTCATTTTTCACAGACTGAATGGCACTCGTGAAAGCCAGATTCGTGAAGAGCAAGCTGGATTTCGCCGAGGTCGAGACTGCTTCGACTACATCTTAACTATGTGTCAATTTTTGGAGCACTGTTACATATACATTGGCGGCCAACTGTTGTCGTGACCTCGATATCAAAGGTGCCTTAGATTCGGTTGATCGATGTGCCCATTGGGGCAGTCTACTCAGGAATAGTGTACTCGAGAAATATGTAAATATTATCCGCGCACTATATGCGCCTAGCTCGAGCAGAGTGAAGGGTTACGGCAAGCTGTCGCCGCCCTTCAATATCTCCAGTGGTGTGAGACAAGGATGCCCGCTGTCACCATTCCTCTTGAATTTCGCCATTGACGAAGTCATGAAGTTTCCGTTCACAGGACACGACTTAGAAGGTGTGGAAATGCTCCCAGGTGAACGACTTCTGAACTTGGAGTATGCTGACGATATTTCCCTTATGTGTGATAACTCGAAAAGCGTGTCAAGTGGCAGTGAACAGATTACCGCTAGCTGTCACTTGTTTCGGGCTATGCATTGCACCTTCGAGGTGCAAAGCTTTCCCCAAGATTGGCATTGACCGCCTCCTGTGCTGACCCTTGGTGGAAATCAGCTGGAAGTCGTCCAGAAATTTAACTACCTGGGAAGTTGTATCAGCGCTTTTGCTAACCTACGCCACCTATGGCGCCAGCGCGACACAGCGTATAAAGCAGCCATCAGCTCAACACTCTGGTAAGGCTGTGAAACATGTCCCATTAGATCAGCAGACATAAGGAGGCTAGATATATTCAACCAACGGTGCCTTCGCAGCTTGGCTCATATCCGGTGGGAACACCGTGTGGGCAACGAGCGCGTTCGACACCTTGTTTATGGCACAGGAAGAGGAACTGAACCTCTTAGTACCGTTATTTCACGCATCAGACTCCGATGGCTCGGCCACGGTATAATGATAATGATGCTAAGGTGGCACTGATGAGATAGCTCCACTTATAGCTATCGCCGTTAAGTGCTATCATCCAAAGCAGTACATCAGCCATTTGAAGCAATGCCTTGCTGTCGCACAGCAAAAGTACCCACGGAACGAAAAATAATAAGAATGGAAACAGCAGGGACTTTACTACCCTAAACAAGCATTCAGGGTTCAGGCGCGTATACCTTGTCAACAACAGACCGTCACAACAGCTGGCTATCGTGCAGACATAAGGCGGTAAAGTTGAGACAGCTTCCTTGCGGCTTTCACTACCCCACGCATAATCAGACACTACCTCGCAACGAGACTAGACCATAAAGTGGTGTGATGGGTTGCGTACTTCTTCGACCCATTGAGCTATATTGGGTGGTTCCCTCGGGCTCCTAGAGAGCTACACCTACCAGGTTGGTCAATGGTTAGAGGTCAGACAAACACCGTCTCCTAATCTACAAAATAGCAGGTTGGAAATGGGATGCCATCCATTTCTTTAAAACCAAATCATTGCCACTTCCCCGATGTCTTGCGGACAGACCTTTGGGCCAAAGGCATTGATGGAAGAAAGTAATCGTTCTTCTGTCTAGGTCTGGGCGCCGTGGCATTACCTCACAACCCGTATAACCATGACTATTTCCTTAAACGTAAACCACATAATGTATCCGCCGTCGCGCAGCTTGTCAAGGATCGCCCTGTCTGCTGCACAACAGGACGGATAAGAGAAAACATGCTACTGCATTATTAACCTACCTTCTATAATTCCCACTTTAGTTGACAACAGTCGCAATGCCATCTGCAGCAACCTTCCAGCACCACCCGCTGGACTCCAATCGCCAACAGCCCCTTCAAAGGCCACGCTGTCCCGTTCCCCTGGCGGCGTTTAACGTTCGCACTCTAAGACAAATAGGTCAACAGCCTACATTGGCACTCAGTTTGGACACACTGGGCATTGACGTGTGTTGCGTATCCGAAACTAGGATCAATGACCCCCACGGGGTTGTTGAACTAACTGCGCCCGGCTTATCCTATCGCTATTGGTTGCAAGCATTCGGAGACGCTGATGCGGCAACCACTCAGCAAGCTGGGATGGGAATCGCTTTCCACTCTAACGCTGAATCATGGCTGGTTGGTTGGATTCCCTTGAACAGCCATTTGTGTGCAGTCCGTCTGATTTACGAAGCAGTGCTGAACGCCGTTTGTTCGTAGGTTCCGCTTATGCTCCCACCGACTGTAGTTTGGATGCTGCCAAGTACGCCTTCTACTACGAACTGAACGCGCTGCTACGCAGCGTTACCTGTTCAGATATCACATTACTTGCAGGGGAAATGAATGCGCAAGTAGGTTGCCTAGGCTCTTCAGAAACTCAGCTGTGCGATAATTATGGGCTTAACTCCGACCGGATGGACAACGGCGGCTATCTGTTGTAACTGTGTGCGGAGCACAGGCTGTTTCCTAGTAGCACCGGTTTTAGACAAAGTGAGCGCCGAAGTACCACATGGCGTCCACATAAAGCTGGCCAGGAATGGACCCAAACAGATCACGCAGTCACAAGTTACAGGTGGCGCGGTTCCCTCCTGGATTGTCGCTAGTCTCGAATCCCTGCGTCGACTCTGATCATGCTTTGGTACCCCATCGTTTTTTCAATGAACTTTACCGGGAGACGTAGCAAGCGTCCCTTCGATAGGCGACTGAGAAGCTATCTCAGTCCACGGTCAGGCAATCCTACCATGATGCACTGCGTACCGAACTTTCGCTCTTTTGTTCTAATGACACTGAGATTCGGTGGAATGGAATCTCGGCTACCACTTACAACAAGGGAGACTTTGATTACGGTGCTATCAATCGTCACCGCACCAGTCACTGGACATCCGAAAAGTCGGTGAACTTGTTGGAATTCATAAACTAACTTCCGAGTGGCCCTGAGAACAGTGTAACCAGACGGACTATTTAGGTGCGAAATAAAACGATTTGCGTGCTTACAGAGAAGCCTGGTGGACCAATAGGGGTAAAGAAATGGAGAAGACGGGATCGGTAGACTACTATCGCGGGTTTTGCCAATTAATCCGTACCATTAGTTCCAGGAAACCAAGCGTCAGTGAGACAACCAGAGACAGCACATGTGCCCCGATTTAAAACATAGAGCGCTAGCTGGCTGGTTGCGGGGGTCACTTCCGAGAGCATTTCAGTTGGCCCACTCCCCCCGGACCTTTTCTCACTCAGTAGTACGTCGGTACTGCGTACCGACGCTTCGCTGCCCTGCAACCACCACCAGTTGGGT